ATATACTAATAATAATAATAAAATAATAACTAAAAATAACTAATAATAAAATAAAATAAAATAATCGTTCTATAACACTAATATCATTATAACAGAACTAATAGTTATAATCAGAATTATATTATTTAATTATTATATATATTCTTGTAGAGTTTACTTGAATTCTAACATCTACTTCATAGCATAACTCTAATATTTTAATATATCTTTGTTTTTTTATCAGACTTCTAATCCAAATAGTCTGTATAAGACTATAATTTGTCTATTAGTATATCAAGTCAGCTTAATATTCTTTTTCTCAGATTTATTTTGATGACCTAGTTAGTAGTATCTTCAAAATTCCTAACCTAAAAATTTTTATCTATTCAAATATTATAACCTTGGTATTTATTTTCTTAAGCTAGTCTTTACAGTAGAGCTGTCAAAAATCTAACTACTTTTCTATTTAGATACTTTCAAATAGACTTTTTGTTACCTAATTTTAATAAATTTATACAGTTACAAAAACTTATCTAGTATTTGTATTACCAAATTGTCAGTTTGTATTTCTTTATATAATGCTATACTTATACAGATATCTTATGATCTGCCAATTATGCTGATGTAATTACTATTACAGATATTTTAATTCAATTATTAATATCAGTTACTATAATACAACCTATTACTTAAATGTTAACAACCTGATCACTTTACTAGGTTACTATACTCTTTTTTAATAGTTTTTTTTTTTTTTCCTTAAGCAGTCACAGTAGTACTTTATTAAACTATTTGTAGCTACATATATAAATACAGAATATCATTTAATTTATAAGTCTACCATTATCTGGTTATCTAAATAGTATCTAAATGTGACCTGCTGCATTAATCCAGTTAGGACTAAAAATTACAACTCATCTGACCTCTGCCCCACAATAGGATACTGCCAATCTGGAGACATCTTCTCATAGAAAAGAGAAAAACAAAAAAAAATAATTTTAAAGTTGAAAAAGAGAGGAATAAAAATAGGAAATAAAATAAACTAAACAAAAAGAAAATGAAACTAATCTATAAGGAGAATAAAAGAGAAAACCTGTTAACAAAATAAAACTCTATTCTATGATTACTGCTCATTATAATGTTTTTATATTTTTATGAACTATGATTATTCTCTAGAAATTAGGTACTCTTAACCAGAATGAAAACTGTATTTACTTGTAGAGCAGAGTTCAAGCTGAGCACTTTTCATATAGGAGAAATCTTCAAGTAGGTGAGGTATTGTATCAAGGTTTAGAATGCACTTAAACAGTCCAATTCTTTATAAACTTCTGTACCTCTTTTTTTAAAAATATTATGCATATGACCTCAGAATATATGCATATCTTAATATATTTTTGGTCTTTCTGAATTAAATCCTTTTCTGATCTGCTCTATATAATTGGCTGACTTATATGTTTGTTGTGTTTCTTATTCATCATGTCCAAACAAGCATGTAACTGTAAAAGAAAATGATGCACAATGTCAATCTTTTGATGAGAGTGAGTCAAGTCCCTATTTTTCGAAAAAAAGAAAACAAAAAAACAACAAAGAGGAGCTATATAATTGTTGCAAGAGTCCAAGTTAAGGAGAGTTTTTCTAGTTGTTTTTCTTTTTCTTCTGCTTTTAATATTCTTAACCAGAGAACTGATTTTGTTTCTACTTGCTTCCAGAATATCCTTCCAGTTTGGATGCTGAATATGCAAGAGATTTCATTAGACAAAAAGCTTGACCCAAGGCAAGAATTACTTAAGTTTTGTCTGCTCCTTAGTGTATTACATACTTGAGTTTTGTTAACAGCAAGTTTACTTAATGTAAAACTAAGAATATTATCTACTTTGAAGCCAGAGTCTTTAATCTACTTTTGGTACCAACTTGGTTCAAGTAATCATCAGAAAGAGTTTATCTTGTCTTTTTTAATAGTTTTAATATTAAATAAACTTATTAATATTATTACAAATTTGGTATTTAAAAAAATAGTTATAACACTTATTATAAAGTTTTTGCTTTATCTTAATCAACAAAATCTAAATTTCTTATTGTATTTCAAGATCTACAATTCAACCTTCTAAATACAACTCATTATCAAATTGTGTTTCATTCCTATTATATTCTTTTTTATTTAATTCTATTAATTTAAAAATAAACTTCTAATATATCTAATAAATCAAATATCAAACTAATTCCTTATATATAATTACTAATACCTAAATCTAGATAAGCCTTAACCACTCTTGTTAGTTTAAGTTGCAAATAAATTAATCTAAGCTTCTATTTTTTCTTTAATATTTTAAAACCAAAATTATACTTTATATAAAATCTTAATTAAATATTCAATATATATAGAAGCATGATCTCACCATTAATATTAAAAAAAAAAAACAATAAGTTATGTCTTGTAAAGTTTCTTTTGCAAACAAAAATGTTCTAATAATTTAAAAAAATTTGCAAGTATAACATCTAGTATAGAACTTATATAAACAAACTACTTAAGTTAAATACCAAAAATGTATATATAACTAATTGTATTCTCTAAGATAGAAAATAAAAACCTTAGTCTCGAAGAAGCTAGTTTAAATAAAATTTTATATTAAATAACCAAATGACCAAATAACTAATAATCATTTGTCATTTAGTTATTAAAATTTTTAAATGACCAGATCATTTGCCTAACTTTTAACCTACTTAACGTTAACCAAATTTGCATAATCAGATCAGATTTAAAAAAAAAAAAATTTATATATATACGGGTTTACAGTATATTATGACTGTCCATATTCATTAACAATAGACTTTCACTTGTAGTTATGTATTCGGGTATTTCCCGAAGAATATTACCAACGTGGGATCAGTTCGTTACGTCGGTTAGTAAAAATCTAAATGTATGACGGAAATTCACTCAGCCTTCTTGGACGTTGATATAATTACATTTCTTCTCAGCATTCGTCTCGTTCTGTCTTTGCCTTTTCGAACAATCAATGGGGAAACGTCCTAACATCAAAACATATTATACTCGCGACTCCAATCCAAATATTTAATCGTGATAAATCTACAAAATCATCGACTTCGGCTGTCGAGTTTAAGCTTACTCATCCTCGCAAAAAAGTTCCTCAGTTACCTGTATTCGAGCCGCTAACGCCGTCAGCCGAGGAAGCTGTTACTAATATTCTATATAACACACCTGCTCCTTTTCCAACCCCTCCGAAAAGACATGTTCTAAATTGTCTAGTTCAGAATGAACCTGGTGTACTTAGTAGAGTGAGCGGGATTCTTGCAGGAAGAGGGTTCAACATTGATTCATTAGTTGTAGCTAGCACCGAGGTTTCTGACTTAAGCAGAATGACTATCGTGTTACGTGGTCATGATGTGGTCATCGAACAAGCAAGACGACAATTAGAAGATTTGGTAAATATTCTGCAGTTTTTGTATCAATATATCGAATTCTCGTATTTATTCCCTTCAGGTTCCCGTATGGGCAGTGCTCGATTATACGCAAACATCAATCGTCGAACGTGAGCTATTGTTGGCTAAAGTGTCCATCTTGGGACCGGAGCATTTACATGAGCAATTGATTGCTATTAAACATAATGAATACGACGATGAATTCATGCCAGAGGCAGACCTGGAATCTGAGGTAAAATGCCATTCAAAATTTTATTTATATTTTTCCTATAAATATATTTATTGAATTTTTCAATTTTATCTATAGTCGCCCAATGCCACATCTGTACTACAAGATGACTCTATCGATGATAAAGTTTCACCACTAACACCATCAGCGGCGTTACAGCAAAAACATACACATCTTCGCGCGTTAATTGATCTTTGCAACCTTTTTAAAGCTCGTATAATTGATGTCGCAAATGATAACGTTGTAATCGAGCTGACCGCTAAACCTACTAGACTTGATGCGTTTATAAAATTGGTAAAACCTTTTGGTATTTTAGAATCTGCAAGAAGTGGTGAGTTGTAAAATAATTAAGCCAATTTCAAATATTTATTGTTACCATATTTGACTTTTGTGATTCATGAATCGACGCGTTACAGGTATGATGGCGCTTCCACGCACTCCGCTTGTGGATAAAGAAGCTGCTGCTATTGAGGAAGAAGAAGATACTGGTGTGGACGCTACTATGCTACCACCTGGTTAAGTGAAAAGACTATTACCAAAAATATTTTTAAAGAAAACGTTGAATGTTACGTGCAACACTTGAATATAACTTGTATATAACTTTTTAAATGAATGTTTGTATCTATTAAGGAAAGATTTTTGTTTATGTGTGTATCTAACCGAACATTTTACCAATCACGTGATAAACTATAGATGCTGGTGAAACTAAATAATGTTGGTGAAACTGGTGACTATCTAAAATCTGATTGGCTGTTATATTAAATTTCACCAATTTCCAGTCTAAAAATTTCGCAACCAATCAGATTTCAAGATCTTGTGTAACGCAAAGGAAGCGCAAAAGAATCAAAATAACAAAAAAACGCCTATAGCTTAAAATTTTGCTTATGAAAGTGCCTTCTGCGTATTAAGAAAAAGTTTTCCTCATGAAATTTTACTATACCCATAACCCTCTAAACCAAACGCTAACCTACTAGTAGGACCCTAACCCTAAACTAATAGCGAAAATTTTTTTTGATATGTTAATGTTAGAAAATGCTATATGATCATATGATTTGCGAAATTTTTTTGCCTGTGATACTAGTCTTATATTCACCAGCATCTATGACTAATTCTGCTAATCCCTAACGTCAATCCTAATTCTAAAGCCAGCCATGCTGTGTCGATTAGTTTAATGCTGGCCATCGTGCTGTGCACTAAATCATTAGCAGATAAATCACCAGTCAAAAACATTTCGCTGGCCAATCAGATTTCAAGATCCCGTATAACGCAAAAAGGCGCAAAAATCAAACCAACAAAAAACGCTCGTAGCTCAAAATTTTGCCTATTAAAGTGCCTTCTGCGTACTAACAAATAAAATTCCTCGCGAAATTTTACTATAACTATGGCCCTTTAAAACAAACATTAACCTACTGGTGGACTCTAACCCTAAACTAATTGCGAAACAATTTTTTGTGATACTAGACTTATACACTAAATCACGTGTATGCCGTGTACCCTAATTTTATAATTATCATCGGCGTTTGTCACGTCATACGCAGCAATGAATTCTGAATCTTCTGCACTGGACAACGTCGATGATTCTGTCTCGCAAGAACAATTTTCTTATTATCAAACTTTTAAATATGATTTTTCGAAACCACTTATGTCTCTTTGCTCGACCAAGAATCTTTTTAACCAAACTGTTTCGCAAAGTTTACAAAAAATGTTCAACGCGAAACAAGAGTTAGGTTACATACCCAACGGAACTGAAGGCAATTTTTTTAAAACAGCGAAATGGTACGTACATTGAGATTAAATGACTACTTTTGCAAGAGAACATACGTGTCACTTACGTAAATAAAAATTAAATAAAAATTTAAGGTCTCCTGATGGAACATGCATCTTGACTTCTTCTAATGATAATATATTGAGAGTATTTAACTTGTACGTAATACCTCTATATACTTTGGTAATGGTTTATGTTTACACTCTTGCGTTTTCTTATAGACCTTTTAACATATTTGATGCAAATGAAGGTGATTGTAATTTTTTCATTGGCATTTTGTAACAAACTTAATAAACTTACCATGATTGTCACTAATACTGCAGAACAAGACATGGTGCCGGCTATATACAGTCATTCGGGAGAATCTGTGTACGAATGTTGTTGGTACCCGCAAATGTCTAGTCAAGGTAATTGAGTATAGACAATCAAGAGATGTTTTTTTCATTTATTTCAAATACCTTGTCTACGTGACCATACGCAGATCCGAGCACGTGTTTTTTCCTCGCATCTAGTCGAGAACATCCAGTTCATCTATGGGATGCGTATACCGGAAAGGTGAATAAACCTATATTCCCAAATTAATAAATTAAATATATGCTAAAAAGGTTAATAAACATTCTTTATGTTTATAGTTAAAATGTTCATTTACTATTATTAATCATCGTGAACAAGTTATTGGACCAAATTCTTTAACGTTCAACTTGGATGGTTCCAGGTAAGCATATATAATATGTTATAAATTTCTTATGGTGCTTCGTATTCGTTATTTGAACAATATTCTTATTTGGTGAATCTTCGAATAAAATACCTTTTTACTCGAACCAATATACTTTATTTGAGTGATTCATTATATATCATACGAAATGTAGTTATTTGTTGTTTCGTATTTAATTATATTGCTAAATATTCGTCATTCGGTGAATTCGAACTTTATTCGAATAAGTAGTCCTTAAGCTCTATTTACAATTAAAAATTTGCTGTTAATGTAAAGTTTGATTAATGATTTTATTATAGGATATATTGCGGATATAAAAACATGATTAAAACCTACTATACAGACCGGCCGGGCAGTGACGGCGAAGAATATCCCACGACGCCTACGCGTAAGAGTAAAGAGGGGCAAAAAGGTTAATATTCATCGGGAAATTTTGAAGCCCGATTATAATCGGTTACAAACAGTATCAAATGATTATGAGAATAATTGATTATAATCAACATATGCAAAAACTAAAAGCGATTTAAAACGAATAAATTAAATCGATTATAATCAATGCTTCTATTATATCAATTATAATCGATAAAAATCTTTATCGATTTTAATTGGTGGTGGCGATGAGAATCGGTTGAAATCCTTAGACATTAATCGATTCTAATCGGATTTTAGAATTTTATCGATGACTTATTATTATCTTTATTATCCTTAAAAAAATCATTTCCTTTTCTTTTAAGAACTTGATTGCATTTAACAACATGCATAATAGGTGTGATATCTTGCCTGGCTTTTAATCCTGATCGTTCAAGTTTATATGCTGCGGGTTCTTATTCGCAATCAATTGGACTTTATGATGAATATAATAACGAGTTGCTATTCCTTTTACGTGGAACACTGAATGAACCAATTGGAGGTGTTACTCAGGTAATGTATATTTAAGGTGAGTTTGATCCTAATTTTATAGCATTTAATTTTAATTGAATAATGGTTCGATATTAGGTCCAATTTTCACCTTCTGGCCATTATTTATTTTCGACATCACGAAGGAACAATAGCATTTGTTGCTGGGATATCCGTAATTCTGGTGAAATTTTATACCGTCTACAAAGACGAGGTGATACGAATCAGAAACTATCATTTGACATTGACTATTCCGGAAAATTCTTGATTACTGGCGATCAAGTAAGCGATAATACAATAAATTTCAAGTTATCTAAATTTTTATCTTGATATTCTATTTTAATGATATAGGAAGGAAATATTATAACTTACGATTTAGCTGATCCTGATGATGATGGTGTTCCACGTCAGGTACTGAAAATGGTAGGCCATAAAGGTATGTATTATTAAAATATTTTTCGTCTATTTACTGGTAAACGCTCACATAGTTTATAATTGTAGATACTGTGTCAGCAGCAACATTCCATCCTTATTCACCCCTTATTGCCTCTTGTTCAGGCCAGAGAAAGTTTGACTTTTTAGTAAACGAAAACATTAAAATCAATTTCATAGAGAATAATGATCAGTTAGGTTCATTAGAAGCTGATATTGTTGAAGATAATTCTCTTAAAATATGGAAAGTTGAAGGAAATTTTGAATGGCATCTTTACGAGTAAGATCTAAGTCAGTCAAGTCAGTTGTAAGATATTCAAACGATTTACTTCATAAATCTGGCGCACTATTTTAACATTTGATTTGTGATATTTTGCTATAATCAAAATTTTGGTCAAGTTTTAATCTAGTGGATATTTTTGATATATCCATTTTATTATTCAAAATTACTTCAGGTTCGCAAAAAAGTAATTTAACCTTGCGGTGCATTTGTCAAACTAAGCTAAAACTCGGCTACCAATCCAAGTATTTGATTCCCAATTTCAAATTTTAGTTACCAAATTGCATCCTAATCAATTAATATAAACCCCGTAAAAATTTTGAACCTCTGATCTACCGATAACCTATCTTCTCCTCTATTTAATCCTTTCAATAGACTTGGAAATTTTAAGAATTCGATATCAATGCTATGTTATATAATCGATGAATAAATATAAAAGATTTGATTAATATACTCTAATATGGGGGCCAGCAAATTGCATATATCAAATTTTTTCTTAAGGCCGGCCCGCAAAATTTATTATAAAATTTTGCAAATTTTTCGGCCCGCAATTATAAAATTTTGTTTTAGGCCTGGCTTGGCCTGGTCTGCAAATTTTGTGGGCTTGGCTGGACTGCGGGACCCAATGCAGGGAAACCAATTTAGGTTTATTTGGGTTAAATAAATTTGAATTGGATTTTTTTTCAATATTAAAGTAACTTTTTGGTCTTTTGATTTTATTAATATTTTTGTTAGGTATTACAATGAGCATACAACTGGTGTATGTAATATTACTTATTTAAGAAGTTTGCTCAGAGGTTTTTTATTAGTTGTTATATTTAACATCTTTGTTTAGATGTTTTATTTAAATTTTTTAATTTGAAATTTTTGTATTAACTTTATTAGGTTATTTAATTTAGATTTTTGTTTTAATTTTAAGATTATAATTTTTAGAATTATTTTTATTAAGGTAAACCTATTAGAGTGAGTTATATATTTTTTATTGTTAATTTAGTTTTTGTTATAGTTAAAACTAATTCTTATAAGTAAGGTTATTTATTAAACTGTTTTTATTTTTATAAAGCTTATTTAAATTTTGATATATTTTTTTTAATGTTATTTTTATTTTTTTTTATTAATTACTACTTAAAATTAATAGAATTTTTTAAATTATTAATTTAGATGTTTTAGTGTAATATACTTATATATATATATATTTTAATGATTTTGATGATCTAATTGATGCATGTGTTTTTTTATATATTTGATATTTAGTTTATTTAACAATTTTTTTGAAAGCATTTTATATATTTTTATTGATTTAATAGCATTATTGAAAATTTGTAATAAGGATAGTAATTCTAGTATAATGATTGAGTTGTTATCTTTCAAGTGGCAAGTTTAAGATTTAAATTTCACTTATAATAAAATTTGAAAATTAATTTGTATTATAGTAAACTGTTTCTTAATAATTAGTTGAATTGGTATATTTGTAACTTTAAGTTGCACCATTTCAGATAAAAGCTTAAAGTATTTATATGAAGTATAATTTATATATATATAGAAGAATATTAATAACTAGTATTGTATAAGACTTTAGTACAAATTCATAATAAGACTATCAGATACAGTAAACTAAAAAACCGAAAAATCAAAAGCTTACTTAAAAATTCCTAAATAAAGAGATAGCATAAATTTTTAATGATACAATTAGACCAATAGAAGCATATAAAATACCTTTAAAAAAATAGTTGAATAAACTGGATAACAAGATATATAGAAAAGCACATGACCAACCAAGTTACTAAAATTGTCAAAAAAAAAGATATATATATATTATACTGAATTATCTGAATTAAAAGTTAGAAAAGTTCTGTTGATTCTGAATAGTAGTTAATAAAAGATAATGAAGAAGATATTATGATAATAAGTACTAGGGTTCTAGTAAACTTTATAAAAGTAAAAATAGTATAATATAGTAGTTAAATAAGTAACTCCTATAACTGCAAATATTAGGTAACTATAATGTATTGTATAAAACTAAGTTAACTGTATTGTTATAGGTGAAAGCCTTTTTAATTTTCACACTATAACGACGACACAGCACAGAGAATCCCTTATGGGTATATGCGGTGTCCAAGAGAGAGTATAGCTGATAAACCTTGCCTGTAGGAATTACCCTAAAGAGGAAGTATCAATACAGTTTATAGTCAAAAGCTGTTTATTAAAGTAATAACAAGAAG